GCCCAAGAGGTGGTAGTGTTAGCTAGTGGCAGTGGCCAGGGCCTTCCTGAGTGACTAGCTCCACTTTTTCAAGGCAATGGCATTGGTGATGTGTGTGAGGATGACTTTGACAATGATGCAGTGGTCGACCCCCTGGATGTATGCCCTGAAAGTGCAGAGGTAACCCTCACGGATTTTCGGGCCTATCAGACCGTCGTCCTGGACCCTGAGGGGGATGCTCAGATTGACCCAAACTGGGTTGTGCTCAACCAGGTACTAGGGCAATGGGCTGGGTGGGTGCTCAGACCAGACTCCCAGAGAGGGCCTAGGTGAGGTAGTACACCTGTATCAGGTCTTTCTTCTTTATTGCCCATCACCAGGGCATGGAAATCGTTCAGACTATGAACAGCGACCCCGGCCTGGCAGTTGGTATGTGAGGGCTACTTAGTTCAATAATTTTCAAACTCCAGAGGAATCGACAGGGGCACAGGGTGGGGGACAAGCTGGCCACACATATAGCAGGCATCCCTTCCCAACCCCACTGCACAATGGGCCACTAGTAGATTTACTGCCCTGACCTTGATCCCACTCATCTACCCACCCCTAGGATATACAGCCTTCAACGGTGTGGACTTTGAAGGCACCTTCCATGTGAACACAGTGACCGATGATGACTACGCAGGCTTCCTCTTCAGCTACCAGGACAGTGGCCGCTTCTACGTGGTCATGTGGAAGCAGACAGAGCAGACCTACTGGCAGGCCACACCTTTCCGGGCTGTTGCCCAGCCTGGGCTGCAGCTCAAGGTCCCACAGCTGCCCATATTCCCCAGTCCAGGACCCTTTCCTAAAACCTTTCCCCATACTTGAGTGGGAACCCTCTTACTCAGACGTTGGGTCTGGAGGTTGGCTCCCTGGGGCTCCAGAACATTCTCCTGACCACCTTGACTTCCTTCCCCACTTGTACTTACCAACCTGTTGTCTCCCCTCATTTGGGTCCTGTGGTTGACCCACTGTCTTTGCCAATGCCCCTCAGGCAGTGACATCAGTGTCTGGCCCAGGTGAGCACCTCCGGAATGCCCTGTGGCATACTGGCCACACCCCTGATCAGGTACGACTGCTGTGGACTGACCCACGAAATGTGGGCTGGCGTGACAAGACTTCCTACCGCTGGCAGCTGCTGCATCGGCCTCAAGTTGGCTACATTCGGTGAGGGGAGGGGCTGCGCCCTCCTGAGGAACCCCAGACCCGGCCTTTCCTTCTGCTTTAGCTTGGACTCACCAGTGACTCCTCTACTCAGTGCCTTGGTGCCATTGGCCCGGATTGGGACCACTTCTCTCCATCTCCTCTCTCACCACAGACATGCTGCCTCAGTCCTGCTTTCCTCCTAGCATCAGGCGGCCTGGGCTCTGGTGCTGAGGACACATAGGCAATATTGAGCAAGTCCTTTCCTTTCTGTGCTCCATTTTTCCCTCTGCAAAACAAGGGCATCTCTGGGAGCCTCCAAAGCCCAGGCCAGTCTGTGGAGAGGCCCTTCACTGGTACAGCCCAGAACCTGCCTCCTCAAGGTGTCTGACCTGGAAGGGACCATCATTTACAGAAGTGCAAACGAAGCCCCAGACTTCACAGCTCTTCGCAGCAGAGCTGAGGCCTCTCAGTTCAGCACTTTGTCCACAACTTTGCATTTCCTAGTCGGTGGGGATGACAGGGAAGGGAGGGGAAGTGATCAAGAGCCCAGAGTCCAGGCCCTTGGGTTGGTTCCCCTTTAAGGTGCCTGGGGCTGTGGGGCGCCAGGGCAGGGGATAAGGGAGGGGTAGACTAGAGCCTGGGAAGCGGGTGACTTCACCCCCCAGCCCATTGTGCTCATCGTCATGGCAACCCAATCCTCACTTGGAATGCAGCTGGTGCTTTGAGATGCAAAGGGGGCTGGACAAAGAGCCAGGGGCCCCAGGCCTGAGAAAAGCACCCCTTTCCCTCCCCTTCCTTTCCTTCCTTCCTTCTCAGGCCTGGTGAACTAAGGGGGGTTGGGGATGAGCAGGGCCCCAGGATAGTGGCACAGTGCCCACCGGTACCCTGGCACCAATGGAAACCCCTATCCTGGACAGAGTGAAGCTCTATGAGGGTCCCCAGCTAGTGGCGGATTCTGGGGTGATCATTGACACATCCATGCGAGGGGGGCGTCTTGGTGTGTTCTGCTTCTCTCAAGAAAACATCATTTGGTCCAATCTCCAGTACCGATGCAATGGTGAGGCTCTACACCTAGATCAGCCTGACCTCTCATGCCCTTGTGGGAGCATCACATCTTTGATTTTAATTGTTTCTCCTTCCTCAGACACAGTTCCCGAGGATTTTGAGCCATTCCGGAGGCAGCTGCTCCTGGGAAGAGTGTGAAGAGGTGGCTACCAGATTCAAAATCCTGATTTTAGACCCTTTGGCCTGGAGGTCCCGGGGGTCTAATCTACAGCCCCTCAGCCCAAAACACACCCTCCTCTAGCACCAACCAGAAGTTCCGCCCCAGAGTGGTGGTGACTGTTGAGGAGATGGGAAGTTTTCAAGGGGTATTTCTCAGGCACTAACCCCAGGAAAGATAATAGCACCTTGTCATAAAGTTCCAGTTGTTTTCTAAGCCAGTGCAGTTGCTTATTTTAGAGATTTTTTTCCGGGGTAGTGTGGGAGCAGAAAGGAACCTGAGAGGGGTAAGGGAGAGGGCTGGTAGGATGGAAGTTAGAGATCTAGAGGAAATTTGGCTGAGTTTAGGGCATGGTGAAGCAGGTGTTGGATGAGGGTTAGGTGAAGAAAGGGGGGGTTAGGTAAAGGATGAGGTGCTGGTCGGAGGATGGTTAAAGTCTTCCCAGCCCCACTTACTCACGATGGCAGCAGCGATACTCCAGTCAATCTTAGATCAGCCAGGATCGAGAGCCAGGAGGGCTGGGGCTGCCCCGCTCGGGGTGAGGGGGAGGCCGGGGGGGCGGGGGGGCGGGAGGCCGGGACGAGTGCAATATTGGCGGGGGAAAGAACAACACTGCACCGCGTCCCGTCCCTCCCGCCCGCCCGGGGCCCGGGATCCCGCTCCCCACCGCTTGAAGCGGGACCAGCCCAAGGACCCGGAGCGCGCTGGGGAGTTGGGTTCACCTGGGAGGCCAGGGAGACTTGGCGCCCGGAAGAGGGTGAAGGGAATAGGAGGGGGGGGTGGGGAGAAGGCAGAAGGGGCGACATTCGTATCCCGGAAGGCCGCTTTCTGACGCTCGGGCGTTGCGCGCGCTTGCTCTTTAAATACTCCGACTGCGCGGCGCGCCGTCGCCGTGGTAACTTGTATCCCAGCAACTGAACTAAATGGCTGTTGCCTGGCAACACCAGGGGTTGTTGAGGCCTCCCACCTAGATACTCGAGGGTTCTCCAGCCGCCGGTCGAGAGCTTCCTGGCCTCTCTCGCCCGCGCGCCCGGGCGCTGACGTCACGCCCCTTGCCCGGCGCCCGCCGAGCGCCGCACAAAGCCCCGCCAACTAGGCAGAGTTGTGCGTCCTGGAGTTGTGGTCCCAGGCTTCCCGCCGCATCAGTGTTGTTAAAGTCAGTTTTTCAATATTATTCTTTGGGGCTAGGAATGGTTTTCTTAACTTCGATGTAATTATGTCGGCCAAGACCGCAACCCGGGACCTCTGGATGAGGCCAGATACCCTGAACTCCACGAGCCTCTGTGACCCTATATACTTACCTGGTCCCAAATATTTCTGCCCTTCAAAATATCTCTCAGTTCTCCAAAATTACGCACCCTCACACAGTTTTGCCCACACCACGACCATGTGCTTACCTGCCTAAAATACCACTCTGCTCCCCAAAAGATAGTTCTGTGCCCCCCGATACCATTCTGTGGCCCTACCTACTCTGACTCCAAAAACTTGTCCTACCACCCCCCCTCCATTCCGATGTACTTTCCTACATACGTCGACGACTCTTCCACTACCTAGCGCCATTTCCTCCAGACACCGCCCCTCGCGCCCCAGAATCTCCTAAAGTTCCCAGACTCTCCATCGATGGCACAGTGCATTCCTCCCCTTCTCTGTCCACGCCACTGACTCTTCTAGGTGGGTTGCTGCCCTCCCTAGCCTCTCTCGGCCCTCAGGCAGCGCGGTCCAACCTCTCCATGCACCGGGGCAGCCCCACAACCTGCCCGGGCAGGCGCCGTGAAACTCCCGGTGACCACTAGAGGGCAGAAGAGCCTGGCCAGCCCAGCGGGCTGCCTGCCTGCCGCTAGCAGGTGGAGGACTGGGAAGGAAAGACTCTAGAGTTCCGTAGAGCCCAGGTTTCATCCTTCTTTAAGTGGGAATTTCTTCCCCCTCTCCGTTCTTGGGAGAAAGCCAAGGAAGGAATTCAGGCTGCTGGAAAGTCCGGCAGGGGCAGGGACTGTGGGTTTCGGGGTAGAAATGCATGCAGAACGGGACAGTGAGCGGTTAGCAAGATGGGGCTATTCCGAAAAGTGGTTGGGGGAGGGGGTCCAAAAGTAGCACCTAGTCCACTCCCTATGGAGTCTTCCTATTTCTTCTCAGCCCCCAGAATGGAGAATTGGAGTGGGGGACTGACAGTAAATTATCGGCCTTAACTTAGCCCACATTTTCTATTTTCTAACCTTGGCTCTTGATCTGCGTCTAAAACTAAGGCCTTGAAGATCTAGGTCCCAGACTCCCCCACGTCCCCCCGCCCTCCCAGCCCCACACCGCCTTCTGGAGCCAGGGTGTGGTTGGAGAGAAGGGGAGGCCAACTGGAGAACAAATAGATTGTCAGAGGGTTGAGTGATTGGAGCCCATGTGCCCTACCTGAGGGGGGCAGGAATGGTTGGGGAGGAGGAGGAAGAGATAGGAGGTAGGGAATGGGGCGGGGGCGGGGTTTTGTCACCTGTCACCTGCTCGGCTCGAGCCTAGGGCGGGCTGGGGACCAGTATAAAGCAGCAGGTACCTGTGCTCGCTCCTCCTCACACGCAGTACCTGCTTGAGTCTGTTCTGCCCCCTCCCCACCCGGTTCACTACCACCATGACACCGGGAATCCAGGCCCCTTTTCTCCTTTTGTTGCTGCTATTTTCAGTGATTACAGGTGAGGAGCACAAGGTGGGGAGGGGTCTGCTCTGCACAGCCTTTCTGTGGGGTTTGTTTCCTGGCAGATGGCACCCCACGGGGCAGAGTTGCAGCCGGGTCGGGTGGCCTAGTCTGTGCCTGAATAAAAAAGACAGGCTAAAAAAAGACAACCCCCACCCCCCCACCCAGAAAATGGGTGCCGGCGCAGGCAAATTTCCTGAAGAGAAGTCTGGGGGTGGGGGTGGGAGTAGTAGGAGAAGTAAATCTTAGGAGTGGAGAATGGCCAAACTAGGAGCAGAGGGGTGTGGGAAGAGAGGGAGGTTGCCAGCTGGGAAGGAGGAGGGTGGCTGACTCAGGGGCCTGCTCCCCAAATCCTCCTGGCATTTTCTCCAAATGCTAGAGGATGTATTTTCTCCTTGCTGTGATTTATCCCCTAACCCAACTCTCAACTTCTTACAGCTACTACCACCTCTACTCCCAAAAGGCTTTTTACAACCTCTGACCACACAAACAGCAATGGAAATACACAGACTGAGACTGCCCAAAGCAGCCCAACGCCTAAGCTCACTGACAAAAGTTCTGTGAGCACAACCAGCAGTTCATTCCTCACTGCCTCCAGCCCGGCCACTGCTCCGGTCCACAGTACCACTTCTTCCCCGGCCACTGCTCCGGTCCACAGTACCACTTCTTCCCCGGCCACCGGCCCTGCCTCCAGCCCGGCCACCGCTCCGGTCCACAGTGCCACTTCTTCCCTGGCCACCGGCCCTGCCTCCAGCCCGGCCACCGCTCCGGTCCACAGTACCACTTCTTCCCCGGCCACTGCTCTGGTCCACAGTACCACTTCTTCCCCGGCCACCGGCCCTGCCTCCAGCCCGGCCACCGCTCCGGTCCATAGTGCCACTTCTTCCCTGGCCACCGGCCCTGCCTCCAGCCCGGCCACCGCTCCGGTCCACAGTACCACTTCTTCCCCGGCCACTGCTCCGGTCCACAGTACCACTTCTTCCCCGGCCACCGGCCCTACCTCCAGCCCGGCCACCGCTCCGGTCCACAGTGCCACTTCTTCCCCGGCCACCGGCCCTGCCTCCAGCCCGGCCACCGCTCCGGTCCACAGTGCCACTTCTTCCCCAGCCACCGGCCCTGCCACCACTCCGGTCCACAGTGCCACTTCTTTCCCGGCCACCGGCCCTGCCTCCAGCCCCGCCACCGCTCCGGTCCACAGTGCCACTTCTTCCCCGGCCACCGGCCCTGCCTCCAGCCCCGCCACCGCTCCGGTCCACAGTGCCACTTCTTCCCCGGCCACCGGCCCTGCCTCCAGCCCGGCCACCGCTCCGGTCCACAGTGCCACTTCTTCCCCGGCCACCGGCCCTGCCTCCAGCCCCGCCACCGCTCCGGTCCACAGTGCCACTTCTTCCCCGGCCACCGGCCCTGCCTCCAGCCCGGCCACCGCTCCGGTCCACAGTGCCACTTCTTCCCCGGCCACCGGCCCTGCCTCCAGCCCGGCCACCGCTCCGGTCCACAGTGCCACTTCTTCCCGGCCACCGGCCCTGCCTCCAGCCCGGCCACCGCTCCGGTCCACAGTGCCACTTCTTCCCCGGCCCACCGGCCCTGCCTCCAGCCCGGCCACCGCTCCGGTCCACAGTGCCACTTCTTCCCCGGCCACCGGCCCTGCCTCCAGCCCGGCCACCGCTCCGGTCCACAGTGCCACTTCTTCCCTGGCCACCGGCCCTGCCTCCAGCCCGGCCACCGCTCCGGTCCACAGTACCACTTCTTCCCCGGCCACTGCTCCGGTCCACAGTACCACTTCTTCCCCGGCCACCGGCCCTGCCTCCAGCCCGGCCACCGCTCCGGTCCACAGTGCCACTTCTTCCCCAGCCACCGGCCCTGTCACCACTCCGGTCCACAGTGCCACTTCTTCCCCGGCCACCGGCCCTGCCTCCAGCCCGGCCACCGCTCCGGTCCACAGGGCCACTTCTTCCCCGGCCACCGGCCCTGCCTCGAGCTCAGCTGCTACTCCAGCACACAAAGCCACCTCTGCCAAGGCTACTACCACCCCAGCTGGCAAGGAGACTCCATCCTCAGTTCCCAGCCACCACTCTGATACTCCCACCACCCCTGCCAGCCAGAGAACCAGGACTTCTGCCAGTAGCACTGACAGTAGCATAGTACCTCTTACCTTTTCCTATCATAGGATTTCCTTCTTTTTCCTGTCCTTTCGTATTTCTAATTGCCCATTTAACTCTTCCCTGGAAGATCCCAGCACTAACTACTACCAGGAGCTTCAGAGAAATATTACTGGATTGGTGAGTATCTGCCTTTCTTCCATGTGCTCCCTTGCATAAGCCTCCAGAACTACTCAAACCCGTGCACCAAACCTTAGTTTTTTTCCTCTCACCCCAGTTTTTGCAGATTTATAAACAGGAGAATTTCCTGGGCTTCTCTAATGTAAAGTTCAGGTACAGTTCTGGGTGTGGACTCTGGGGTGGGTAGATGTTATCGTGACTGTGGGGAGGGACTAGTACACTTGTGGTTGGGGGGGAAGTGGCCAGAGCTGGGACCTGCAGCTGAATTGTTCATTTCCCTGTGAGCAGGCCAGGATCTGTGGTGGTGGAGTCAACTTTGGCCTTCAGAGAGGGCACCACCAATGCCAATAACGTATTGACACAGTTTGTTCAACATGAATCAGACGCAGCCAAATACCACCTGGTCATTTCAAGAGTCAGTGGTGAGACCAATTCCCTTGCTTCGGGCCAGCACCACACTTCTGGGGCCACTCTCTCTTCAGCATCTGGATTCCTGCTTTTCCCCTGGGTGCTAGGGGGAGGCCACCTCCCTTGGGAGATGCCCTGATCACTGCTTTTCCTTTTAGTGGAAGATGTGTCATTTCCTTCCTCTGCCCAGCCTGGGTCTGGGGTACCTGGCTGGGGCATTGCCCTGCTGGTGCTGGTCTGTGTTCTGGTTGCGCTGGCCATCATCTATCTCATTGCCCTGGTAAGTGCTGTCTTCAGCCCCAACCTGATCCCTCTCTTAGGAGCTCCATGGCCCCCATAATCTCCTGTGTCCTCAGGCTGTGTGTCAGTGTCGCCGAAAGAACTGTGGGCAGCTGGACATCTTTCCAACCCGAGATGCTTACCATCCTATGAGCGAGTACCCCACCTACCATACCCATGGGCGCTATGTGCCCCCTGGCAGTTCCAAACGTAGCCCTTATGAGGAGGTGAGGATGGATCCCGTGGGTGGAGGGAGACAGAGGCTTTGGCTGGGAAAGGGTTCTGAAGGGGAACTTGGAAAAACCAAAGAACTTAGAAGAGGGAGGGGTGACATGCAGCAGGCAGTGCAGGGCCTGCGAAGGAGGTCAGAAATGTTCTGGGGAGGAGACCACAGAAGAAGGGGGACCTCAAGAGGGAGTGTCCCCACTCCCAGCATTCCCAGAAGAGCATTCCGGTTCCGCTGAACTGCTGTGGCCGGGATGCCCAGAGGAGACATGGGTGGGTACCCCTGATACAGGACTTCCAAGGAGTGAACATCTTCGCCCCGCTCTTCTCCTAAGGACGGAGGGTAGAATGGGTGGGGGGAGGGTCTCTGATTCAGAGGAAGAAGTCTCACCAAGCCAGGTGAGCCTGGGTGCAGTTCTTAGGAGTCTCAGGGAAGCAAGGACCCCTTCTCCCTCTTTCCTCTCCTGGCCCTTCTCTGCAGGACCTAGTAAATAATTACTTTGGTCACCTGGGGCTGGAACTCCAGGTGGGGGAGGGGGACTTTCCTTGTCTTGACCCCATTTTCCCTCTCATGGGACTTCTGTCTCCTAGTTTTACACAGATGAGCACACACACCTTCTTGGGCTGGAAGAGCAGAGAATGAGGGAGAAAGGGGCAGGAGAGGAGGGCAACGGGCTGATTAGAACCAAGGGGAGGGAGTGAAGGGGAGCAGAGGGAGGAGGAAAGGCCCTGTTTACAGTCACCTGGCTGCTGCTGGTGCCAGGCAGGTGCTCTCTCCAAATTAACCCTTCGAGAGCTAGTAGGCTCCTGGACCTATTACCGCAACCTAGGGTGCCATCCAGGGACCCTGGGTGGTAGCTTCTCCCAGGAAAACTTCTGCCCCTCAGGCTGGATCCCTTCTCCCCTCACCCAGGTTTCTGCAGGCAATGGTGGCAGCAGCCTCTCTTACACGAACACAGCAGCCACTTCCGCCAACTTGTAGGGGCACGTTGCCTGCTGAGCATCCAGCCAGTGCCAGTCGCCAGCCAGTTGCCTCCCTCAAGGTCTTCACCACCGGTGTCTCCCTCCCCCATTTTCTGGACTGATGAGCTGGGAGTTCCAGTAGGCTGCTCACAGCCTCCCTTACAGACCCCACCAAATCCCCATCTTAACCCTGATGAAGCCCACCTTAGCCATGATGAAGCCCAGCAGAGCTCTTGGTGATATGCTTGGGGCACTGGCTCCCAGGACTGGTCCAGAAAGCCCCCAGATGGGAGTGAGAACCTGTACGTGGCTGAATAAAATGTGGATTTCCTGTGCTCTGACTGCCAACGTCTGATCTGTCATCTGTGACCCTTAGATAGAGGAGGTAGTCAGAATGTATGTGTGTGAGACCTTTGGGGGAGTGGACAGGGACAAAAGAAAGCCAGGAGTAGGGTTTATTTGAGCAGCAGGGAACGTGAAGAAATGACATTGAGCCGCAGGAGTGGCTGGTGGAAGAATTTGAGTCACCTCTCCCCCATTGCAGGCGGCGCAAGAGGAAGGAGGAAACGAAACCTAGGTGGCTAGGCTCTGGCCGGTGCATCCATGGCTCACCGTGGTTTCACCCTGGCTGGGGGCTGGCAAGCCCGCACCCTCCTCTCCCCTTGGCATGATGCCCTCAGGCGGTTCTATTCTGAGCTACCCAGGTGTGAAGTAAGTCCTCAGGTAGAGATAACAGCCACAGAGTCAACATGGCCACAATAAGTGTTAGATCCGGGGCTGGCACCAAGCCCCATGCCCTCCCTGGCCATGGGCTGCCCCGTGTCCACCCACCTGCTCTGGGGTCTGCTGCCCGCACCCTGGGAATGGGGAAGTGGTTCCGGTTCCCTTCCTCTTTGAGCCCAGGCACCGTGCCTGCCCCCTCAACCACATTCCCTCAGGGGAGCCGCCACCCAGAAGCCTTGTCTGGGAACCTACGCAGGAGGTCACCAGAGCCATGCACCCCCTGGTGGCCTGAGCTGGACAGAGGCCTGGGAGCACCTGGCTTGGGGACCTCCTCCCTCAGGTGCCATGTCCATCAGGCAGCCCTGCTCTGAGCAACAGCAGGAGCACCCTGGACTGCTCTGGGCAGCCACACCCAGCACAGATACTAAGAGGAATGGTCAGGCTCAGGGAAGGCAGAGATGTGCCTGGCATCAGAGTTTATTGTTTATAAACCATGAAAATGACAGCTGTTGCTTGGCACAGGCCTAGCAGACCCTACTGCAGGGGAGCAGCAGTGGGTACCAGAGGTCTTGCCTGGCCCAACCTAATGGGTACATCCAACCTCTGCTGCAGCCCCAAAGGGAGACTTGGCACATTGGCATGGGTATGGGACAAGTAAAGCATGCAAGAGGAAGAAGAGGGGCATAAGAGGCATGCCGCTGAAGGGTATGGGGACCCACGTAAGCAAAGGATAGGGTCCTCTTCCCTTACCAAAGAGTGCCTGGGCAGTGTCTGACCATAAAGCCTGCCCACTCTAAGGCTATAGTTCAGCATCAGTGGGGCAAGGAGCTTGGCAGGGCAGCGGGCAGAGCTGGGGATCATGCCCAGTGTTCCAGGAACCTTCCCTCCCAACTGACCTGAGTGTTGGGGAGAAAAGGGCAGGGATGGGGAAAGGGGCTCTCTCCATGACTTGGGTAAGATGCCAAGGGCAGAGTATGGAGCAGAAACTTGGTAGGATGGGGGTCTGGATTAACAGGCAAGGGAGAGAATGGGGGAGTTCAGAGAGGTGAGCAGAAGAGTGTCCCATGGTTAAGAGAAGGCCCTGGGAAGACACAGACACAGGGTAAAGGGCAGGACCACATGGTAGGAAGAGTTTCAGGGAAAAGCTGCTGGAGGAATAACCCAGCTCCAGGAAGCTTGGAGGGCCAGGGCCCAGAAAAGGCCTGAGAATGTCAGTCCAGCTTGGCGAAGCCCCCAATGGTGACCTTCCTCTCAGGCTTAGTGCCCACAGGCTCCTGTAGCTGTACAGCACCCCCCCCAATGAAGCAAAAGGCAGGGCACACAGGCCCCGAGCAGTCCAGGGGGCACTCCAAGAGCCCACGGAAGGACACAGCATCCAGGAAGGAAACGCGGCCCTGCTCGTAGTCCAGGCAGATGCCCAGGCGGGGTGGCAGGGGCACAGTGCAGCCAGCTGCCGGGCCGTCCCTCCCTGTCAGCCCTGCATTCGAGCTGGCCCCGGACCCCAGCAGGATCTTGCCCATGCCAATAGTGAGGAAAGCAAAGGGTGGCAACGCCTCCACTGTGGCATCCTCAGCCCCGCTGTCGTGTCCACTGTCTGGGTCGTACCTGCAGGAGAGGACATTGGGAAGGAGGATGTTGGGTGGTGGAATAAGGGAGTGGGGGAAAGGGTACCAGAGGGCTGAGACCTTTGAAGTATGGAATGTTGGTTGAAAAGATGGATTTAGGATACTGAGAAGAAAACATGTTGAAGAGACGGGTTAGGATGTAGGGTTGGGGTTTTGGTTTGGCAGAAAAGGGGTATTGAAAGGAAATCACACCGGCAAGAGAGGTATTGGGGCAAAGGTAAGACGACGTATTGGTCAAGCACACTGAGGAAATGCAGCCTTATGCCCTGGCCGGTTTGGCTCAGCGGTCAGAGCGTCGGCCCGAGGACCAAAGCGTCTCGAGTTTGATTCAGACCAAGGGCACGTACCCCGGTTGCCGTTGGTCCCCGGCCCCAGTCGGGGTCCTGTGGGAGGCAACCATGTTGATGTGTCTCTTTCATGTCGATGTCTCTCTCTCTCTCTCTCTCTCCCTCCCTCCTACTCTATCTGAAGATAAATGGGAAAATATCCTCAGGTGAGGATTGAAGAAAAAAAAAAAAAAGAAAGAAAGAAAGAAAGAAACACAGCCTTATCAAGGAGGGAAGGTGGTGAGAAGTGTGGTTGGGGATATCATGCTGGGAGGGTTCTGGGGCTTAGAGAGCCGGGAGGAGGAGGAGTTAGTGACTGCGGGGCTGGGTGGCAGTAAGCAGGGAAAGGATGTCGGGAAGGCAGATGCTGGGAGGGTGTTGAGGGTGCAAGGGCAGAACAGATGATTTGTCAGCGAGATGTGGGGCTGGGATGGGACTGGTGCTGGACCGAAAGCCTTTTGAAGAAATGGGGTCCTGGGAGATAGAGTGCTGGGGAGAAAGGGTTCAGGGAGAAAAACAGGTTAAGTAGAAGGTTTGGGATTAGAGGGCTTGGAAATAGAAAGCTTAAGGAAAGAAATTCAAGGTGTTAAAAGATATGATTGGGAAAGGTATAGGAGAGAAAAGGTTTTGTGGGGAAAGGATGTTGGAAATGGGGTGTTGGGGAGAAAGACATGGAGGCTGAGAGAGATGGTATATTAGTCCTGAGTGACAGGGAAAGTGGAGATGGTTCCTTCTATCATCTCTCCAGCCACATGCTCCCAAAGCCAATCCTCAAAGCTCTTGCACTGATTCCACAAGTTCCCTGGTCCTGGCTTCCATGATCTTACTGCTTCCTCCTAGTCTCCCAGCTCCACCCCAGCAAGTCTGTGCTCCCCTTGCCACCCCCACCCTGTCCCCGCTCCCCCACCCAGGGCCCCCACACCCCATCCCTGCCAGAGTGGCCTGACCTGGGGCTGATCACATCCGAGGCACCCTGGAAGCTTTCCTGGAGCTTGCTCTCCAGCCCGACCCCCACCTTGACCAAGTAGGAGGCTGGGTCTACAGCGCAGGCCCAGTAGCTGCGGCCCTGTGTCACGGCCACATCACCCAGGACCACATCCACACTCAGGTGGCAGCCAGTGAGCAGCCGCTCAGCAGCCAACAGCAGGGGCAGCCCCGGAACACTCCGCACGGCTCGCTGGTCCTTGCTGATGGCCAGCCTCTCTCGGCTTGTGCCCCAGCGGCCATCTAGGAAGAAGTGAAGGACTGGAGTGGGGAGGGGTGAGACAAAAGGAAGGACTTCAGGGACAAACACCAGCACTGGGGACTGTGAGGTGTTAGCACAAGCCACTAGGAGATTTCAGAACATAGAACAAGTTGCCAAGGGATGGGCAGAAGGCTTTGGGAACAGAGCCTGGAGAACTGGAATGAGGGGCATAGGAAAAAAAGAAGGGGGTATTCCAAATGGGCATGGGCCCTAGGAAGAGTTTTAGTGATGACTGGTGGACACAGAAACCAGTCTCCCAGACCCAGATGACTCACAACGCTCCCTCCAACCCCTTTCCCATGGCTGGCCCCAGGTACGGTCCCCACTGCTGTTCCATTCCAGGTGGTGGCATTCCCGCCACCACCTGCCTACACCTTCCATCTTGGTGCTCACATCTGGTCCTTGCACCCAACCCCTACCTCTTCTCCCACTGTGTGCGTGGTGATGCTCCCTTATTACGCCTGTATCTCAGAGTCCACGCTATTTTCTGGAGAGTCATTTTACTATTATTTATTGAGCCCTTGTCTACTAAGACTTTACAAGTATCGACTCAATTAATTCTTACAACCCTATGAGGTAAGTATGGTAAACACCTTTACAGAAGAGGAACTTGAAGTTCAGAGAAGGTGAATAACTTGCCCAAAGCCATACAATTGGCAAGAAGCAGAGCTGGGATTTAACCCCAGGAAGTCTAGCTCCAGAGTTAGTGAGTGTGACTGTCGCTCCAGTGCTCACCCAGCCCCAGCTGTTAGTGCCTGGGTCCCACGTACCCTACGCCTTTTCTGTGCCACTGCCCACCATCTGCCTACTCACCGGGCGCTGGGGGTGTGTGCAGGTGCACATCTTCACTGTACTCGCCGAAGCCAGCCTTGTTGCAGCCACGGACACGCAGCACGTACACAGAGCCTGTGTCGGGGTTCTCCAGCAGGGCACTGGTGCCCCTCACCTCCTCCCGCCGCTGCCAGTGGGTGGGGCCTGGTTGGGCAGGCACGTCTGTGCGCCGGAACTCAATGGTGTAGTGCCAGGCAGGTGGTGAGTGGGGGGGCAGCCGCCAGCACAGGAAGATCTGGTCGTAGGCAAAGGTGCGCTGGGTGTCAATGACTGGAGCCTCAGGCACTGTTGGAAGAGACAGCAGGGTGGTCAGGGCCTGGCCACTGGCCGGGCTGGAGGGTAGGCAGGAAAAGGGAAAGCAGCGGGAGCCGGGGGGGTGAGTGTGGGTGAGAGGGACCTGGGGAAGAGACTTGTCTGGGCACTGGGTAGGGGATGGGCAGGCAGAGCCCAAGGCAGAAGCAGAG